TCACACCCAAGCTGAGGACCACGCCCACACTGAGCGGGTTTGGGAAAGGATTGAGCACTCCCTTGCGCTTGATGATGTGGGTGCTAGATCAGATATGAACACTAGTGCGCTTGAAAACTACTTGGACGAGATGGAGTCCATCGCCGCAAGACAAAAGGCAGCCGACCTGGGAAACGGGGCGGGAGAGGGTACTCGCTACAAAAGGCCAGGAGAGAGCTCTTTTCGTTGCCCTTCAGGCGAGATAGAGGAAAAAAAGCTCCAACCCCCCTCCCCCCTCCCACACACACACGCGCATGGCCCGCAATCCTAGCGTTTGATCCCTAAGGATTCAAGCCAATCCTAAAATTAGCTCAAGCAATCCCCTACAACCCATACTTGTAGCTAGTTGATATCGTCTCGGCTGGTTATTCCCAAGCAAAGGGGGCGCAAATCACCATTCCCGAAATCAGCTTGGTGCACAAATGGTGGCGTGTGCCAGTTTTGCATTGACAAACCTAAATTTTCAAATCATCTGTTCGTCGGGACGTTTAGACACAGACCTGAAGTGTCAAATGGAGCCCAGAAACATTGTAAGTCAACTTCAACACACAGGCTAACAGTTTTGCTTAAATTGAAAAAATACAAGCTGGCTTCAAGTTCCATGTGACCACAAGATGCTGAACCAAAGTTAACAGACAATTCAATACAAAATGTTTTCCAGTTGTAAAATTTGAGAAAGGACCGATAAAGAAAAGCTGGCTGCAGGTACAAAACATGTGCCTTTCCACCAAGGGAGGTGACAGATGAGTCACAAAACCTTTTGATTTTTTGAGGCCCAATACTAGAATGTACCAGCCAATTTGGTCAACGGCCATGCTTCTATTTCTGAATATAATTGATACTAGGGGACTGACTACCGATCAGAATTGTTAGATGCTGGGAAGCAAATGGAAACTGGTCGGTACAGATCCGTCACGATTAGCTATCGGCACGTGTGAATCCCGGGCTCCAATCTCGGTATGATTGCATAGATAGATAATGGAAAAACAACTAACCTGGTCGGTACAGATCCGTCACGATTAGCTATCGGCACGTGTGAATCCCGGGCTCCAATCTCGGTGAGGAAAGAGAAAAGGAGCCGGGAGCTGTACCGGCCGGGCTATATATACTATGTACAAGCGGTCTATCTAGGTTAGGTCTATGAATATCACTAATCTAGGTTAGACAAGGTTGTAAGTACATAGTATAGTCTAAACATCCCATTTGTAATCTTGCATCTTCTCAGATCTTCCGGCCTAGCTCTAACACCCCCCCTCAAGATTACAAAGATTACCCTCCTACACCCAATTGTCCCAAAGCCGTGATCATTTTGGTTGGGCCAAGTCTTTTTGTCAATACATCAGCCAGTTGGTTATGCGTGCTTGTCCATTTTATTGAGATGTCATGTTCACGAATGAGGTCATTCACAAAATAGAAAGCCCGTCGGAGGTATCTTGTTTTCTTCTTGGAAGTATTGTCGGTTGCTATAAGGATTGCCGCTTCATTGTCGCAGTGAATCTTCAAATCAGGTTCCATATTGATTTCTTCCAGTATGTTGAGGAGGTGCGAGAGTTGTTGAGCACCTTCAGATAGAGCCAAATATTCAGCAGCACAGGTCGACATTGCCACGACTGTTTGACGCTTTGAACCCCAAGCTATACTATTACCATCGTGCGTCAGTAGGTAGCCTGTTGTCGATCTTTCGTGTTCTCCCCCCCAGTTCGCATCAGTCCACAAGTCCAGTCCGCCTCTTCCCTGCTTGTACACAAGCGCCTTTTCCGTCGTCCTCCCCAAATAACCAACCAACCAGTCCAACGCCGTCCAATGTTCCGCCGAGGGTGCCGCACAAAACCTCGCCAATAGGTTCACTCCGTACGCCAGATCCGGTCGAGTGCCACAAGCTAGGTACATTAATGAACCAACAACGGAGCGATAAGCAGTCTGGTCAATAGGGTCCCCGGAGAATGATTCAAGGTCCATTTCCGGTAGTGGACAGTGGTGAGAGTACACATTCCGGTGGTATGAGTTGACAATTTGTCTGGCCATGATGGATTGATTTAGCCGGAGGTGTGGGCCGTCCCAGACAAAATCAATTCCTACTAAGCGCTGTACATTATCGGACCATTTAATCTCTAGCTGGCTTTCCATGCCTCTGCGGAGATCGTTCAGAAGGGTTTGATTTGAAGCTAGGGCAAAGCCATCGTCCACATGCAACCAGATGATGATGAAGTCATTGTTCTTCTGGAACAGGTAGAGAGACGGTTCTATTTCGCTAGCCTCGAAACCTAGGGATTGTACTGTCTTCTGGAAAAATTTCCACCAACAGCGCGCCGCTTGCTTCGTTCCATAGAGTGCCTTCTTCAAAAGCATAACTTTTCCTTTCAGAGACGGATTAATTTCTACGGGCGGTTGAATGTAGACTTCTTCTTCAATCGGGCTGTAAAGGTACGCGGAGCTGACATCAAAAGTAGCCGTTGGGAACTTGTAGGAGATGCTGATGGAAATTAGGAATCGGAGGATGTTCAGGGACGCCGTTGGAGCGTAAGTTTCATTATAGTCCAGGCCTAACTGTTGGTTGAAACCTTTCGCAACGTAACGAGCACGATATTTGTCAATCGTGCCATCCGGTTTCCTTTTGATGGAGAATACCCATCGCGCTCCTAAAGCCTTGCAGCCGGTTGGAGCCACAACTGGCACCCATACTTCCAACTGGCCAAACTTTAACATCTCATACTCCGCCGCCTCACGCCAAAGAGCCGCATCAGGACCAGCAAGAGCTTGCTTGATATTTTTCGGCAGGTCATGGTCTTCAGCTATTGGTAGCATTTCGAGTTGTTTCCGTTCTTCTTCAGCCAATTCAGCAGTCTTCTCTTCTCCAAGCTTCAGAACAATCTGCTTGAGTATAAAAGCTACATCAACCTTCTCCTTCGTCTTTCCTGCTGGCACGAGGTCCGGGTGGGTTTGGGTTGTCGATTCCTTGACGGGGAGACATTGGAATTCTGGGAATGTAACTGAAGCCGAGTGAATCATTCGCTTCTCATTCGGAACCCAAAACATCCATCCAGCACCTGACTCTGGGTAGCCCAATAGCTGACCGTCTTGCCCTCGCTCATCAAGTTTTGTGCGTCGTTCCTTCGGAATGTGGAGCACTCCTTTCGCACCAAAAGGGAAAAGTGTTTCCGCTTTAGGCTTCACCTTGTACAATATTTCCAAGGGTGTTTTGTCACCGGTCTTAGAATTCGGGATCCTATTGTAAAGGTGCGATGCCGTCGAGTACGCATAGGACCACCAGTAGCTGGGAAGTTCACTAGAGTGGAGCATAGTTCGCGCCATATCACCAAGGGTTTGGTTGACGCGTTCCGCTTCACCATTTTGTTCAGGTGAATATGGTGTCACCGGCGCCAAGATGGTCCCTACGGACTCGAGTTGAGGCTTCAGGCTCTTGATGTATTCAAGTGCATTGTCGCAGCGAAGGTATGCCGGAGCTTTTCCTAAAGTGGTCTTCAAGTGTCGTAGCCACTTCATGATCTTGGCAGGGACTTCAGCGCGGGAGGCCATTGGCGCGCAGAACGTGTAAGTGCTGGCGTGGTCGCGGAGTGTGACCAGGAATCGACAGCCGTTGATATCGAGGTTCAGGGGGCCGATGACATCCGACACACAGAGATCCAGGGGTTTGTCTCTAGGAATCAGCGTCTCCATGCCTAAAGTCTTCTTGTCGATGCTTTTCGACTTAGCACATTGCTCACAAAAAAATTGCCTCCAGCTTATTTTCTTATCGGGGTAATTAATCCGAAGGAAATCTTTGACAACTTTGTCAGAGACGTGGCCGAGGCGAACGTGCCAAGTGTATGGGTCAAAGGAAGGCACTTGAGTGACTTTTTTTGATTGCAAAGCACTAGTTTTAAGAGACCAGCAGAAATTATGAAAGACAGTAGCGTAATGATTATTAAGGGGATCAATCAAGGTAGCCTCCGTTCCATCATAAATTAATTTCCATCCCTCCGACAATAATCGACCCGTAGACAGAATTATCCCATCAACTCCAGGGCAGTGATAAACGTCATTGATCTTCAGCGGCCCTGTCGGCGTCGGAATCGTCACACTACCGATTGTAGTAACCGTCACATTGCATTCAGACACAGCAAGATAGAAAGTTCGAGGTTGAGTCAGCTTTCGTTCTTCGGAAAACAGACTAGAGTCGCCGCTTACGTGGGCTGAGGCACCTGAATCAAGGAGACAACCGTCGGTGACGTTTGGGATGTTGACCTGGCGGAGACGGTCGTTGTCAGATCGACGCTGAGGTTGGTAGCGAGGGTTGCTTGACTTATAGTTCTCAGGAGGGGCTGAGATCTTCTTGGTCGCTACATCTCTCCAAAAATCGGTACAGTCAGAGTACCAGTGGCCATCTTTTTCACAGTAGCTACATGCGTTGCCGTATTTGGTCAGCAGGGTTTCTGACTGGCCCTTGCCCTTGTAGTGTGCCGCTCTGTCGACCGAAAGGCGAGCCGGTTGTTTGCTGGCTTGATTGGGTGATC